TGTGGCGGCTGCAGAGGGGAGGCTGTGGGGCTTCCATCTCTGCTCCTTGGGCGGCCCCGGGCCTTCACTCTTGCTGTCTCCACGGCCCGGGACTGGTAGTTAGGGCCCGCGCCTTAGTCTCTGTGGCACGGAACTCGGCTGGACCCGGCCGGGCGCGCAAAGCGGGTATGGAGACAGGAGGGCACAGGCCCTCGCCTCAGCGAGCTCGCGGGGTTCCGGGGGAGAGACACGCGCGGGGTCCATGGCAGATGCCGGTGGGGGCCGGAGTGAGGAGACCCGCCCCTGCTCGTCGGGTATCTGTCCCAGGTCCCTGATCCCGCCTGCCCTGTCCCGCCCTTTCCCCTTGTCCCCCTCACCCCCGCCTCCTCCCTCCGCGATCGTCCCTCTCCCTCCCCTTTCCCCGAGCATGGATCGGAACGTCACTAAAGCCCCTAGTTGCTACGAGGTCAAACTGCTGCGTGAGCCCAGAGGGGGCGTACTTAGAGGAGGCGGAGCTGAGGGGAATGGAACTCTGGGTGGGATGGAGAGCGCCGCCCGGGTGCCGGGCGCACACGCTGCGGGAGGGGAGCATGTGTCACAAGCCTGGTGGCGGCGTGGCAGCAGTAAACGCGTGAGAGGGGCACTAAGAGCATGATGGCAGAAGTGTGTTTTTACCTTTCCCTGATGTTGGCTTTCTAAAGCTCCCTGGCTTTCCCTTTCCTTGCTTAGGAGCTCAACTGCCCCTTCCTCGAGGGTCTGTATATCACAGAACCCAAGACCATTCAGGAACTGCTGTGTAGCCCCTCGAAGTACCGCTTGGAAATCCTGGAGTGGATATGTATACGGTAACATCCTTGTTTCTTCCTTCCCCGAGCCTGGATGCACATGGGCACCACTCAATCGGCCTGGGGATGAAGAGGTTTGTTATTTTGATGAGGGGCTGTCCTCTATCCCAGGTCACTGTGACAGCACCTGCTTGGCTGAGAAGTGCCAGCTGTGGAGTGATGCTCGAAGTGGGGAAGAAAGTGCTCCCAGACAGTGCTTCAGCTCGTCTACTTGTTGTCTTGCTGAAGTGGAGCTTGGCTCCTGAGCTTTTTTCTTGCTGTAACTATTAGTTTCAGAGCTGGCAGTGACCTGGGAAATAATGTACTTCAGTCCTTTCATTTTCCGACTGGGCAGCTGAGGGTCAGGCTGGAGTCGTGAACTGTCTCAGGTCTTACTACTGAGGAGTGCCTAGCAGGGCTGAGACCCCGTTTCCCAGTCCTTCAGGCCAAGGTGCACCTTGATGTGTGTGCCTGGCACTGTGCAAGGGAAGCAAAGCCTGTCCAGACGGCAAGGGGAAAGGTCTATAAAGTCCCTTCGAATATCTGCTCCTTGGAAGCAGCAGCCCCTGAGCCGAGCGCTTGTCTTAAGGTCATGACTCTCAGGCCGGTCTCTGGCATGACTGTGGTTGGTCGGTCCAGAGTCTTTCATAATGCCAAGCCTCTGCCCATTCTCAGCCTGGCCTGTCTGCCCTTGCAGCTGAGGAAGGGGCCTGGGCAGGAGCCTGGCTGGGGCAGCGAGGATTCAACTTGCACCCAGCTGGAGTGCCTGCTGGGCCATGGGAAGTCAGTAGGCCTGGCCCTGGGCTGGGTGTCCTGGGGATGGCTGGGAGGAAGGAGGAGGTGTTTTCACATTTGAGCCTCTGCCTTTCAGCAGCCTCTCCTGCTGCCATGTGGAAGGCCTTTGACCTTTATTCTCTGGGCAGGATGAGCCTGGGACCAGGGGCGTGGCATACTGAAATTGGCATTTTTGGCAGGGTGACATGGGAGTTCTGTGGTGGATGGATTTGGAGGGAAGAGGCTGGAGGCAGGGAGACCGATGCAGAGGCTATTGCAACAACCCCGGGAAAGGATGACAGGAGCCTGTCTTAGAATGGTGGGTGGCTCAAGTGATAGGCACTGTCGGCCCTGGAGGCACCAGCCACTAGTCCAGGAACCTAGGAAGAGAGACAGTAGTGGCGATGGCTGGGGCTAGTTCAGTGATCTTGAACAGGCTCCCAGGAGGAGGGAGGCCAAAGTCATGTCTTGGAGAGGCTCTCGTTGGGAGGGAACCCAGACTTGCCTGGCCCATGTGGAAACTGGGGACCGGGTCACTCTGCTGCCAGAAGGGATGGGGTGAGAGTCCACGGCTGCAGTCCTCAGATACTTTTAGTGCTTTTTAAAATACAAGAAACAGAATCCTTTTAAGAAGCAGCCAGGGAACGTTCAATTGCTTTTCATGATCCCTAGCTGGCAAAAGTGCCTTAGGCCTTTCAAAGACCTGAAGAGGATTGAATAGAGTTCAGTTTCTCCCAATTTTGTGTTGGCTTCTTTGCTTGTGGTTATTTTGGCCCTTGTTTAGGGCCACCTGTTCGCCCCTCTCTGGGCAGAACCTGGAAGCCATACCCAACATTGGCCAGGTGGTCTGGCGTAGCAGCTCTTGGTGGCCCATATACCCAGCTGGCCCTCAGCATGGGCAGGGCAGGGCCACTGGGCCCCTGCATTGCTGAGTTCAAGGCACATGGGTTTCCTTGGCTCCTGAAGAGCTGTACTTTGCTTGCAAGGCCTTGAGCACCGTTAGTTTCTGCCCTGCTCCCTGCTGCTTCAGGAAAATCAACTTTAATGAAAGCCCTTTCCAAGTGAGGTCACTTAGGCTTTTGGGGATTTGTCCTTTAGTGTGTTGAAGTGGTTTGCTGCGGTCTAGCCTGATGGATCGTGGAGTGCTCTCTGCTCCCTGGCGCTTTGTGAGTGGGAGCATTGCCCAGCAACCAGCTCAGGGCCAGCCTCCTACCCCCGCTCCTTGTGCCCCAGCACTCTTTGGCTGAATTGGTGGTTGCCTTAATGAATAATGCAGACAGGCAGTGCAGCTGAGGCTGCTGGATCCCACTTCCTCTCCGCTGTAGTCCTGCAGTGTGGGGCCTGGTACCTCAGGTCCCAGGTGGATCCAGCTCCCAGGGGTCCAGCATGGTGGCGTAAGTGTGGCCTGGGATGCAGGCGTTTGATAGCATGACCCCAGGGAAGCAGTGAGCCCTCTCCACTGAACACCTTCCATGCCCTTTCCCACCATGATGAGTCAGTCAGCCGGTCCCTAGGCCTGAGGCCTGGGTCCCCACACACCACTCTAGAAAGTGGTGGAAAGAGTCTCTTTATCTTTACGTAGGAAGGCCCTGCTGTGGCAGCGGGATGCTGGGGCTCCCTGGCAAGCAGGCGCGGCCTCAGCAGCTGGGATGCAGTTCCCATGGCTGCGGTGCTGTGCCAGCTGGGCTCCAGGCTGAGAGTGCGGGGCTCAGACCGTGCCTCCTGGAGAAGACCTATTGGGAGGCGTGTGCCTTGCGTCACTTGTGATGCCTGCTGGTGTGTGGCAGCCCTTACTGCCTTTGGGTGTGGTCTGTGTCTGCTCCTCAGCTCAGCATCTTAAGGCAAGCTGCTTACGAGTGGCCACCATCCCATTTACCTGTGTGGGTACCGTCAAGGCTGGGGCTCCACCAGCCCCAAGGGAGCGGCTGGGGCTGCTGTCTCCCCACCCAGGGGACTAGAGCTGTGGCCCCAGAGCCCATCATCTAGGAACCCTCAAATGGCTCAAAGCTGTGACCTGGAGTAGCATCATCTCCTGTTGACTTCTGTTTGTCTAAAAACAGAAAATGTCTCTCTGTTGAAAGAGCTCAGCATGGGCATTTATTAATGGCATATTATTCTGTGGCAAGAGGCCACGGTCATCCATTTGTTAACTCACACTGGCCACCTTTTTGGTGCTGGCTGCCGTGTTAGACCCCAGAAATGCAGAACAGAAAGCTGGCTCCTGGCCTCCGTGAGCCCAAAGCCTGAAAGGTAAAGCCTGGTGGAAGGGCAGTACCCAGGCCCAGCAGTGATGGGGGGTGCCAAGGTGGCTGCAGGCACGTCCAGCCCTTCCCTGCCTCCCTAGGGAGGCGATGTCAGCCGTGGGCTTTGTGGGATGTGTTGGAGCTGACTTGGTGGGCTTGGGTTGTGCGGGAAGAGAGCACTCCAGGCCGAGAAGGGCAAACACACAGGTGCACACGGAGGTGTGAGAGAGCGCCCCAGGAGGGCCTGCAAGGGCACTGGAGCAGGAAGGGCCTTTTGGGACATCCTCCCTGACTTAAAGAAAAGACAGCCCCTAGGTTCCTTCCGAGACAGAGCTTGGAGCTCTGAGTAATTCAGATTTTTCCTCTTGGGCAGTCCTTTCATCTTTTTATTGTGAGAATTGTAATTTCAGTATTTAAATTCACATTTCTGAGGTAAACTTTCCAAGATATTTTGTTTTTTTTGTTTCCCTGATAATTTATGGAGTTAATCCATATCACATAAAGTTACTCATTTTAAAGTGAACGTTTCAGTGGCATTTAGCACTTTGCACAAATGAGTAATTCACTTTTGAGAGCATGTGTAAGGAGAAGTGGTGAGGGGGCCTTTGTGGCCCACTCAGGCCTGACTGGCTTTGCTCTTTCCTTGCAGGGTCTGTCCCTCTTGGCAGGACAAGTTCAGCTCACTGAAGGGGGCTCCAGCCGAGGTGAAGATCCAAGGTGGGTGTTCGTCCTCGGAGTTTAGTGTCAAGTGGTGGATTTTGGGCCATTTTGACCTGGTGCACAGTCTCCTTGCAGTTTGTGAACATCGCATGAGACGGTTTTTTTTCTCCTGGAAGGTGCACACTCTGTTGACGTTAGTAGAGACTTCGAGAATCAGCCCTCCCCCACACCCCCCACTGGGCGTGGTGAGTGGGAGTGCTCCTCTGCTAGGGGCACATGAAGGAGGCCAAGGCCGCGTCACCCTGCCAGCCCATCCACTGAGGTGCTGGCGGCAGAGACAGCAGTTCTCACTGATGCCACCAGTGACACATGTCGCTGGTGTGTGCACGTGCATGCTACGTGTGGCGCTCCTGTGAGCACGCTGGGCAGGTCTCCACGGCACTTGTCTTGGAACTGCTTCTTTTTGATCCTTTCTTGGCACAAACTGTGCTTTACCTGGTCATGAACATTCGGTAAAGGGGAGCCAATTGCAGTCCTCAAGGTGGTGGCTGACCCTTCACCTTGTGTGCACACGGAGTGTTTCCAAAGGTCAAATTTTCCATGGGTCTCGTTTGGCCCTGCCACTTCAGGGTGGGTGAACTGGACCCTGGAATCCTGATCCTTGCCCCTGCTGGCGCTGCCAAAGTAGTTATCTGGGGACAGTTGTACCCGAGGCTGAAATGGGCCAGAACAAGGCGTCGGGCCTTGGAGCCTGTGGGCCGGCCTGGGCTGTGCAGCAGCGCTGCCCGTCTCCCCGGCGCTGGTGCGCCCGGCACTCTCCTCTTGAGGGGACCACAGCAGTCAAGGCTGAGTGAGCCTGTTCACCAGGCCGTAGCTGAGATCTCTGACACACATGCACACACAGGTGCTAGCCCTGGCCCTCAGCCCAACCACGGCCTTGGCCTTGCCATTCCCAGCCTCAGTTTCCTCTTCTGTAAAGTTTGGAGTATCACCTAGCCCTGCCCACTTTGTGGCAGTGTGCTTAGTGGCAGAGCAGGTGGTAGATGTGAGTGCTCGTCGAAGAGTATTACTGGGAGAGACCAGAATAAGTTGGGAGATTAGAATTCAGCACTTCGCTTGACGGGTATTTCTGGAGCACCAGTACGCGACCACTGCTGTTTCAGATGCTGGCGGTGATTGTGCTGTGCTCACGGAGCTTCCTCTGTAGCTGGGAGAGGCAGGTGATAAACCAAGAAGGCAGCAAAATTTGCAGTGTAGCAGACAGTGAGAAGCACCATAAACAAAGCTAGGTGAAGGCAAAATTGTGCTTGGATGGGTGGGGAGAAGGGTGGTTCTGTTGACAGAAGATGGCTGGGGAGGGCCTCTCTTTAAAACAGAGACTTGCAGGAAGGGAGGAAGTGAGCCAAGCAGATATCAGAAAGAAGGAACAGTGTTCAGGGCCAGAAAACAGCAAGTGTGGGGGCCCTGAGGTAGTCTTGTGTGTGCCTAGCAGTTTTGAGGAGCAGCCAGGTGGCCAGGGTGCCTGGCATGGAGTGTGGAGCAACAGGAGGAGGGGGGTGAGGTCAGAGGGGCAATGGGGCCAGACTGGCCCAGTCCTTGTGGGCCATGGAAGGACGTTGGCTTTTATTCTGAGGAGGGCTGCAGCCTGACTTAGGGTTTAACAGGGTACCTGGGGCTGCTGGGCTGAGAGCAGGAGGCTGGGCAGAGGCAGGGACACCACTGACAGGCTCCTGCAGCAATCCAGGCTTGAGATGTGGGGGCAGTGGGAGAGGGGAGCACTGACTGGATCCTGGATTTACAGCGAAGGCAGAGTTGGCGGGGCCAACACGTACACAAGGATTTGGGGTTAAGGGATGCGGGCTAGGCAGGTGTGCTTAGGGGGTAACTGGTACTTGTGCGCCGTCTCCAGGATTATTCATACTTTCACATACACACTCTGCTTGCTTCTTAACACCAAACCTTCCAAAGCAGATGCCAGAGTTATGCCCATTCTGCCACTGAGGAATGTGAGGGTGGGAGATGGACCTGTCAGGGGGTAAGGACATTGCCACGGGGCCAGGTGGGGGGCATGGAGCTGGCATTGGCCCCAGGCTTTCTGGCTCCAAGGACTGGCCTTTCTCTGTGTGCCACATGGTTACTCAGAATGCTCAGGGCACCCTGGAAAACATGGCCAAGCAAACCCTATACCACAGAGGGACTCAGTTTCCTAATCTGTGAATGGAGCTAAGGCCCACCTCCTAGGCTTGTCAGCAAGATGAAAGGAGATGATGATGTGAAAGGCCTGTAGGAAACTGACGAACATGAGAGATGGTTCCTTTTGCTTTGGCCTGGCGAGGTCTCTGAAAGGGTAGCACACAGCATGTTTGGAAGATTCCCTGGCCTCTCTTGACTCCTCAGGCAGCTGACTGGCTTTTGCTAGAAGCCAGAGTTCTCTGTAAGGAAGAGCGTTGAATGCAGCGTCTTATTTCAGGTGAGGAAACTGGTGCCCAGAGAAGGGCAGTGACTAGATACAGGTCACGGAGCAAGAGGCAGTCCTGGCACCTGGGGGTGTCCTCCACCTGCTTACTTGTTTACCTGGGTCTTCCTGGCCCAGCCAGGAGTGGGAGCATCTTCACCATGGGAGCACTGGGCCCCTGCATGGGTGTGTGGTGTCCTCGCCTGTTTGGGTGGGTGTCTGCGGTAACTGGATCCTTGTGTTCTAACAGAGATGGTGAAACTAGGCCATGAGTTGATGCTGTGTGGGCCGGATGACCAGGAGCTCCTGAAGGTAAGAGAGGACCCTCTCTGTCCCCATGGGGGTCTCAGTAAGGCTGCAGTGGGCACGCAGGGGCTTTCTTTCCCCAGGCCTTTGCTCCTCAGGTCCAGGAGGTATCATCCCCAGTCTCTGCTTCTTAGCTCCCTGGGGCAGGAACCCATAGAATTCCCTTGGGTAGATCCCAGCCATCCCTAGGGACAAGAGGGGAGGGTGGCTGAGGAGGCCAAGGAGGACCTCTGGCTTATCATGACCAAAGGAACAGAGAACACATCCTGTCCTCGGTGGATGACATCATACACACCAACACTGTGGTAAGTACTTTACATGCCGGTAATTGTCACACCTACCCTTGGCAGTAGGTACTTGTCTTGGCTCCATTTCATGGGGAAGGTGACAGACAGCTCACTCAAGGTTACCCAGTGACAGAGCCTGGCCTCCATCGCAGGCCTCTGGCTCCCGATCCTATACACTTTCCCCATCTGCTGCCCACTCTGGGTTTCTATACAGAGATGGCCCCAGTCCACCCCCACATCAGTCAAAGAAACCCTGCCACATACCCTTAAAATTAAAAAAAATTTGAAATAATTATTTCCACATTTTGGCTATTAGAAATAATGCTGCTGTGAATCTTCCTGTATACGTGTTTGACCAAAGACATGTTTTCAGTTCTCTAGGGTATATGGCTAGGAGTGGAATTGTTAAACTTTTTGAATTTTTTTGAATATGTTTAACTTTTTGAGGAACCACCAAACTGCTTTCCAAAGTGGCTGCACCATTTTACATTCTCACCCGCGGTGTGTGAGGAGGGTGCCAGGGTCTGACATCATGACCGACACGTGTTACTGTCCATCTTTTTGCTGCTAGCCATCGTCATGGATCTGAAGGGCTGTCTCACTGTGGTTTTGATTTGCATTTCCCTGATGACTAACGATGTTGAACGTCTTTTCCTGTGCTCATCGGCCATTTGTACGTCTTCTTTGGAGACATGTTTCTGTCCAATTCTTTTGCCCACTTTCTGATTGGGCTATTTGTCTTTTTATTATTGAGTTATAAGAATTCTTTATATATTCTGGATAGAAGTCACATCAGATATTTGATTTACAAATACTTCCTCCCATTTTGCAGATTGTCTTTTTACTTTCCTGATGTGTCCTTTGGAGCACAAAAGTTTTTAGTTTTGGTGAAATCCAATTTATCTGTTTTTCTTTTGTTGCTTGTGCTTTTGGTGTCATATTTAAGAATCTATCACCAAATCTAAAGTCATTAAGATTGGCACCTGTGTTTTCTTCTAAGAGTTTTATAGTTTTAGCTCTTGTAGTTAGATCTTTGGTCTATTTTGAGTTAGGTTTTTTATATGGTATAAGGGATGTACCCAACTTCATTCTTTTGCATGTGGCTGTCCAGTTTTCCCAGCACCGTTTATGAAAAGACCATTCTTTCCTCATTGGATTGTCTTGGCATCCTTGTTGAACATCAGTTAGTGTAAATGCGAAGGTTTATTTCTGGATTCTCCATTCTGTTCCATTGATCTGTATGTCTGTCCTTAGGCCAGTACCACACTGCCTTGATTACTGTTGCTTTGTAGTAAATCATGGCATGTGAATCCTCCAACTTTGCTCTTTTTTTAAGATTGTTTTGGCTATTAGGGGTCCCTTGAATTTCCGTGTGAATTTTAGAATCAGCTTGTCAATTTCTGCAAAAAAGCCAACTGGGATTTTAATGGAGATTGTGTCGAATCTGTAGATCACTTTGAGGAGTATTGTCACCAACTGTATTAAGTCTTTCTGTCCATGAACACGGGCAGTCTTTCCATTAATTTAGGTTTTCTTTAATTTATTTCAAAGATACTTTGTAACTTTCTGTGTACAAGTCTTGTACTTCTTTTGTTAAATTTATTCCTAAGTATTTCACTCTTTATGATGCCATTGTAAATGGCAGTGTTTTCTTAATTTTATTTTTATATTGTTCATTGCTAGTGTATGGAAATACAGTTGATTTTTGCACATTGCTCTTGTATCCTGCCACCTCGTTTATTAGTTCTAGTAGTTTTTAATGCATTTCTTAGGATTTTCTGTATACAAGATTGTGTCATCTGCAAATAGAGATAGTTTTACATCTGCCTTTCCAATTTAGATTCTTTTTATTTCTTTTTCTTGCCTAATTTCTGTGGCTAACACATCAGTACAGTGATGAATAGTAGTGGCAAGAATGGGCATCCTTATCTTGTCCCTGGTCTTAGGGGGAAGACATGGATCTTCACCACTGAGTATGATGTTAGCTGTGGGTTTTTTATAGATGCCCTTTATCAAGTTGAGGGTGTTCCTTTCTATTCCTGGATTAAGTGTTTTTATCATGAAAGAGTATTGAATTTTGTAAATGCTTTCTCTGCATCTGCTGCCATGATCATGTGGTTTTGTCCTTTTTTCTGTTTTTCCTTCATTGGTGTTCTAGGTTTCCTTCTGATATCATTTCACTTCTGTCTAAAGAACTGCCTTTAGCAATTCTTTTTTTGAAGTGGTCTGCTGTGTCCAAATTCTCTTAGATTTCATTTATTTGAGTATGTCTAGTTCTCCTTCATTCTTGGTGGATATTTTCACTGGATATAGAATTCTGTGTTGGCAGTTCTTTCTTCACAGGTTCTGATGAGAAATCTGCAGTCATTTGAGTCATTTTCCTCCTATGAGTCATGTATTATTTTTCTTCTGCTACTTAAATTTTTTTCTTTGTCATTAGTTTCCAGCAATTTAATTATGTATTTGTGGGACAGTTTTTTTGGTTTTGTCCTGTTTGGATTTGCTCAGCTTCTCGAATCTGTAAGTTTGTGTCATTCACCAAACTTGGGAGGTTTTCAGCTGTTATTCCTTAAAATACTTTTTCAGTCTACATGCTTTTGTCCTCTCCATTTGGGCCTCCTATGACACACATATTAGGCCTTTTATTGTTGTACCACAGGTCCATGAGGCTGTTAATGTTTTTCAACTTTTTTTCCTCACTGTTGCTCATATTGGATAGTTTCTGTTAATCTGTTTTCAAGTTCACTGACTCTTTCCTCTCTCTCCTCCATTCTGCTGTTGATTCGCTCCATCAGTGAGTTTTTATTTCAGTTACTCTATTTTTCTGTTTTAAGTGTCTATGTGGTTTAAAAAACACAACACATTTCTGTCTCTTTGCTGCTGCTTTCTCTTCCAGCTTCGGTCTCAGTGGTGTCTATGACTGCTTAGTCAGCATTTTTCTAATGGCTGCTTTACGTTTGCCATGTAGTTCCAGCATCTGTACCGTCTTGTCATTGGTGTCTGTTGACTGTTTTCTCATTCAAGTTGGGATTTTTATGGTTTTCTTCATGTGCCAAGTAATTTTAGATTGTGTCCTAGACATTTTGACTATTACTTTGACTTCGAGTCTCATTAGATTTTATGGAGAATGTTGATATTTGTGTTTTAGCAGGCACTTAACCTGGTTAGGTTTAAGCTGCACATTCAGCCCACTTCTCTGGCCCATGGTTCCAGTGTCTGCTCAGTTCCCACAGCCTTTGCGCTGCTGCATACGTGACCCAGCATTCAGCCTGGGGCCTGGGTGCTGGTCTCCCCACTGGCTTAGTGATCAGAGCCCCAGCATGCTCATCAAGGTCAGACCCAGCCCTGCATGGGGTGGGGGGCGCGTTCTCAGACAGATTGATGAGTTCAGTTTCCCGAGTTATTCCCTCCTAGTCATCTCTAATATTATCTGGTTCTTGGGGAATGGGGCTCTCCTTTTCTGTCTTCCAGCCATGATTGCACCACAGCGGTGGGAGGACAGAGAGGAAGAAACAGTAACAGCGTTTGGCCCATAGCTCCACTGAGTGGAGAGGACGCTTCTCTGCCCTCAGAGTGTTGGCTGCTGTAATTTTCTGTTGCCAGGCTGCCTATGTGCTGCTGCCACCCCGACATTGCCTGGGGTCTGGGGTCTGAGAGAACAGAGAAAAGAGAGAGAAAGAGGCCAGGGACTTTTCCAGTCTCTCTAAGTGCTAGGGTTTTCTCCTCCTGGAGCTCTCCGTGTGTGCCCCGTACTCTCTCTGGGCCTGGGCTGGCCTGAGCACAGGCCTGGGGAGACCAGAGGAGAGAATGTGGTACGTCCCCACCAATCTGAATGGTGCCCTTGGATTCTGACCTCCCTGACACACCTGCTGACATTTACCTTTCGGAGACTGCAGACACCAGCCACATGCTTCCTGTCCGCTCTGAGCAGTGGGTGTCAGTGGGTGTTCAGGAAGGTGGCATGTGCTCTCTCCATCTTACCCAGAACTGTAACCCTTCCCTTAGTTTTAATTAAAAATTTTTTTGTTGTGGTAAAATGCATGTAACATAAAATTTACCCTTTTAACCATTTTTTAAAAAAATTTCCCGCCCTGAGGGGCTCTATTCTTTCTTTTAATACTTTATTATTGTGATAAAATAAACATAACAAAATTTACCGTTGGAACCATTTTTGAGTGTATAGTCAGTGGCATTAAGTACATTCACAATATTAGGTAGCCATTACCACCATCTCCATAACGCTTTTCATTTTCCAAAATTGAAACTACCCAATTTTTAAGCCATTTTCAAACATATAATTCAGTAGCATTTAATACATTCCTCATGTTGTGCAGCCTTCACCTCTGTCTAGTTCTGGAAGATGTTTGTCACCCTAAAAGAAGGTCCTGTGCCCATTAAGCAGTCACCTCCATTAGTTACAGGCCCTGGCGCCCACTGCTTTCCTGTTTCTATTTCATAGGAATGGAATCATACAGTATTTTCCAGGGTCATCCATGTTGAAGCATGAATCAGTACTTCAGTCTGTCTCCTGGAATAAAACGTAAAAGCAAAAGAATCATCATGTTGGCATTATTGAGAGCTGGGAGTTGGGATGTGGGAGAAAGCAGATTTGGGCATAAGACTGTTAGGTTCGGGAGTGTCAGTATGAGCCCCTAATGTGTTGGAACTTTCAGAACGTATGTGTGTCTACACACACACACACACACACACACATTTCCTTACTTTATCCCCTGAAAAGGCCAAGAGCAATGACACTGTAGTTGTGACACAGGCCCAGGGCAGGAAACCGCTTGCAGTTCCATAGACGGTAAAGCTCAATTTCCCACCTGGTCCAGCACTTCCACTCATAGCTGTCTCCCCAAGAGGACCGAAAACCTGGGTCCCCACGGGAGCTTGTACATGAACAGGAAGTAGTAGCCCCAAAGTAGGAACAACTCAAATTTCCATCTGCTAGTGGATGGATAAACTAATTAGCAACAAGAAAGGAGAAAATACCGATCGGTGTGACTCTGTGAGTGGACCTGGAAAACAGGATGCAGCGTGAGAGCAGCCAGACACAGAAGGCCAGGAGCATGTTCCCACTTGTAGGAAAGGCCCACAAGACACGAATCCAAAGCAGCAGAAGCAGATGAGTGGGCACCGGGGCTGCTGGGTGCAGGGATGGGGAGCAGCAGCTACTAATGGGGATCTAGTTTCTTTTGGGGGTGATGACAGTGCTGGACTGACATAGTGGCATTGGCTGCACAGCTCTGTGACTGTCCTAACAGCCACTAATCTGAACACTTCAGAAGGGTGAATTCATGGTATGTGCATTCTATCTCAGTAAGAATACCAGCTCTCGGAATGAAAAAGCGCACCTGGGAGGGGAGTGCTCCAGGCTAAAGAACAGCGAGGGCACAGCCCCGAAGCAGTGTGTCCTTGGCCTGTTCCCCAAACAGCCAGCAGGCTTCTTTCGCTGGAGCGGTGCTAAGGACCAAGCCTTGCAGGAGGCCTTAGGGTGTTTTCTCAGTGCAGTGGGCAGCCACTAGACAGAGTCTGTAGCATCACAGAGACGGACTGGCTTGGGCAGCTGTGGTCGCAGAGGCCACAGTGGAGGGAAGCAGCCAGGTTAGGCGGGGCCCATCTGCTTTGCTGATGGAGGGATTGGGCTGGGGCCCAGGGGAGGGCATCCCACCCAGAGCACAGTGAAGTTTGGGGCTTCAAGGATTCACTCTGCAGGCCTTTCTGAGTGTCTTTGTTGGGTCTGGCCCTTTGCTGGGGAGAACAGGGGACACAGATGGCATGAGATGAGGCCTTGGCCTAGTGCTGCCTCCAGGCCAGTAGAGGCCATGGACGGGCATCAATGAGGTGGCTGTAGTCCAGACTGGGGACTCTTGAGTGTTAGAGGGGTTGGGCCCTGATGAACCACAGAGGACCTCCGTGGCCCAGGCCTCTGGTCTGGAGGCTTGTAAGCAGACACAGGCCAGAACTGCCCAGTGGGGTCAGTTCCAGTCTGAGCCCTACCTCAGGTTGGCAGAGCCTCAAGCAGGGAAACCATCCTTTCCTGGGCATTGAGGGGGAGCTGGGTCTGTGCTGAGGAGGGGACAGCAGTCAGGGTGTCCCAGCCCTGGCCACTGGTCAAGGCCTTGTGACATCCTGAGTGGCACTTGCTCTCTTGATTCTGCCTGGGCTCTTCCCTGTCTAGTGTCACACCTGCCACCTCCTACTCCCGGCCTGCCCTTCAAATGTGTCATTTGGGCTCAGTGTTGTATGGGCAGATGGGGAGAATGAGTCAACAGGAAGGCATGGAGATGTAGATGCCAGAAGCTTCCAGAGGCCAGGCCTCTCAGGTTGTATTTAGGTCCTGGGGATCAGCTGCAAGCCTCCTCCCCTTTCTGGAAGGAGGAAGGAGTGGTGCTTCCGAAGCCTTGAGCTCCTGGCCGGGCAGCTCCCTGCTGGGAATCCCAGCCGCCTCTGGGGACAGGGGCTAAGTCAGCTGCTACTCAAGGACCCTAACTAAAGCCTGGCCACTTGCTGCCTTTTGGGGATGAGCCCTTATTCCATCACGAGGAGTAGGTTTGGTGCAGGCCAGCTCCACGACCCCATCTTGCTGGGCCAAGGGCTCTGAGCCTGTCCACGATGCTGCTGGATGGGGTCCCGGTTGCTGGTGGCCCAGTAGGGCTGAATGTGGGGCAGGGGCACCTGGCACATCTGGCTAGCGAGTACATGTTGCTTTCCTTGCCCAGGGCCAGGCCTGCTCCCAGAAGCAGCTGTGCTTCTTGGACCAGCTGCTGGATGTGGCCCAGAGCCTGACCATTGGATGCTCCAGGGGCTCCAGGTAAAGGTTCGCGACACACCCTTTGCAGAACGGCTGGTGGGCACCCTTGGTCCTCCAGCTGGAGTTGGTAGGGCTAGGAGGCCGCCACCAGGCACGTCTCCAGCTGGAGTTTCACTCCCTGCCCTGGGAGCAGCAGCTACATGCTGGCCCAGGAGCTGCGGGGTGCTAGACTAGGCAGGAGTCCCACCACCCTGGGGGTGCTGCCTAAGGTACCAGGCCATCGGTGTGAAGGCATGGGCCAGCCACTGGGGATGGGGAAAACAGGCACCGGGCGTGTCCCTGCCATGGGGGCGGACTCTTGGAGACTGGAGGAGATGCTGTCTCCTGGCCTCTCTGCCTGGTTTCGTTTTGCCACTTGGGTCTCTGACTGGTGATGAGCGTGGCCTGGGGCTGCCTTTGCAGTGTGAAGGAGCACTTTGAGGACACCAGGGAGAAGAATGAGGCGCTGCTGGGGGAACTCTTCTCGAGCTCCCACCTACGGATGCTGCTGAGCCCCAAGTGTGACCCATGGCCCCTGGACATGCAGCCCCTTCTGGACAAGCAGAGCGATGACTGGCAGAGGTACATGCTCCCTTGCTTCTGTTACCTGGATGGGCGCTTCTGCATGTGGCCCACAGGTGCCCCGATGCCCGTGTTGGCACCGAGCAGAAGTGGCCCCCCTTCTCTCCCTGCAGGGCTACCCCCACCAGTGAGTCAGAGGAAGAGAAGGTGGCGGAGCTGGCCAGGCAGCTGCAGGAGAGTGCCGCCAGGCTGCAGTCGCTCAGGCTGGAGGTGAGGGCGCTGCCCCCAGCTTTGTCTCTGACAAGGCGCACCCAGCCTCAGATGCCCCGTTTTTATACTGTGTGTGTTGGGAGGTCTGAGTGAGGTGGTGTGAGCGCAGAGCCAGCGCCTGCAAGGTGGAGGGTGCTCAGCCCACGTGAAGGCACGAGCAGGGAGGCTTTCCGAGGAGTCAAAAGGACTGGCCTCAGGCAGCTATGAGCCAGGCCCCATGTGCTTTCTTGCATGTAGCCTGAACCTGGCCTCGTTATGGGACTGAGGAGCACATTGAGGCCCACCCAGGTCTCTGGTCTTAATGTCTCCTGGTTTGTGGAAGTGAGGGGTGGCCAGTAGACCCTGCTTCCCGAAGGAGGTTAGGGACATGGTGCCCCATGACAGACAGGGTGGCCTCGAGGGACCCTCCACCTTTGGCTTTGCAGTGCTTTGCGCGGCAGAAGCCAGGGGCCGCTGTGAACGGGGCTGACAACAGTACCCTGGACCAGAAGCTGCGCTTGGTCATCTCTGACTTCCATCAGCTCATCATGGCTTTCCTCCAAGTGTACGAGGATGAGCTGGGGGAGTGCTGCCAGCGCCCAGGCCCCTACCTCCACCCATGCGGCCCTATCATCCAGGCCGTGTACCAGACTCTGACTTCATGGAGCCAGGTAGGAATTGCCTCTCCTCTCCTCCTCCCTCCCACAGGCCACTGCAGCCCCCAGGGAGGGACCCGAGGGCTGGGACAGGGGGCTGGGAGGGACTTGGCCTCAGCCTCCCTGCGAGTGAGTGGCACACTGGGCTCCAGGCTCTAGGCCTCAGTATGGGACTTTGGGTGGGTTGGGGCAGGTGCCTCTCCTGGTGCCATGGAGGGGATGAGGGCTGATGGGGATGTCCCCCTGTGGGTTCCCTGCACTTCAAGAAGGTACTAACTCAGCCAAGACCCTTGGCCCAGAAGGGGTGTGTGCACTGCCTGCTCGGGGTCCTAGCAACTGTAGGAGACCCTCACCTCCAGCTTCTGTTCCTGTATTGGTCTCTGTTTTCACGGTACACCCAAATGTATCAGAATCTCTTCTTTCTTATGAATGTCCAAGAACTACGCTAGACAGATAGGTGCCTGCCTATCTGTGCCCTTGGCCCAGTTCAGACAGACAGGAAGAAGCGGTCACACGCCTCTGTGCTGACTACGTCAGTATTGACTCACTGCGTTATTCTATGTTTCAGATCCCCAGAGGCTGACCTAAGATGCTAGGCTGGGTTATGATTATGAGTACAGTTGCCATGCATAGAACTCTGACATTGGCTCAGGGCTTCCATGATGTTGGCCTTGGCTTTTTAACAAAAAACTCCTAGATTTCCAAACCTCTGACCAGCCTGTCCTTTGTGATTCTACCAACAGGACAAGTTAGAGCACAGTCTTCTCCCATCAGAAAGGCCCTTTTATTTTGGGACACTCCATCCCACTCTGCCACTGCCTTTGCTTGGCTACCAATGTGGGATGGAGCACGTGATAGTGCCCCCTCTGGGCCAGGAGGAAGGGAGTTAGGTTGGGGAACGCTGATTGGTGACTCTCCAGCTGGGAGTCCTGCCCTCGCCCTGGGCTGTCCTTGGGGATGAATGTCATATATTTGAGGGTCTAGGGCAGAGCACATATTCAGTGTGAGCCTGGATGTGAAGCAGGAGGTGCCTTCTGTAGGCCAGATCACCAGCATTCAGTGGCTGCGTGTCCCCTCCTGCCTAGCTATTGAAAGCAGTCGTGGAGGTCACTGACACCTCAGTGAAAGCCGTGGAGATGGCAAAGCAGCAGCAGGGCGAGCCGGTCTGCGGGGGCAGGAGCAACTCTGTGATGAGTCTAGGTATGTGGTCACCACTTTCTGTGGCTGTGGCCACCCATTTGGTGGTCAGGGATGGGGCTGCCCCAGCACACCTCAGGTTAGCACCTGCCTCCTTCTGTGCTCGACCAGCACTTGGGGAGTGGTGCCTTACTTGTTTCTTCTTTTTCTAATGCATAAGGTTTTCTTTCCCTTGAAAAAATGCTTTTGACAGCCTATAAAAGAAAAACATGAATTATAGAAAATTGGAATAGTCCAAAGACGTGGAGAGGTAAGCTAAAAACGTTGCATAATGGGGTGGCCCAGAGATGGTCGGTGTTAATATTTTGGTCTGTTTCCCTGTATTCTTTTTCCTCTCATCTATTTTTTATTTGTTTGCATGAGTTGAGTATAATCACAGCATGTGTACGCTCTTGTATTCTTTGCCTTGGACCTCATTGTAAGCATTCTCCCTTGCTGAAGTCACATTTTTAATTGTCAAACACTGTTCCTTTCAAGCATTTGCTATAATTTATTGAACATTTTCTATTACTGAGCCTGTAGGTCATTTTCATTTGCAAGATTTACACCTATGACAAATGGAAACAACCCAGGGTCTTACCCTGGGGTAGCGTTGGGATAAATAACGGTGTAGGTAGGTGGTGGGACGGTATTTGTTGTTTGAGAACTTGGTTATGATGACCTGAGGAAATGCATATTGCGGAGTGTTAAAGTGAAATATATAGGTTAAAAATGAAATACATGGTATGATCTCACTCTTCTAAAGGGGAAAAAATGTAGACGAATCCCTTGTAGGAACTGAGCTAGAAAGTGGACCTTGGTTTTCTCCGTGTTAGAATCAGAGGTGATTTAATTCATTTACTGTTTCTTTATCCTGCTCTGTAGTCTTCAGCTGTTCCCCAGTGAACATGTATTACTCAGGTGGTCGTCTCAACTGTCACGAGCACGGTTAGACATTGTAGCCCCCATCCTTCAGTGGAGGAGGGGCTCCCGCCTTCGTGGTGGTGAGGCTGAGCAGTTTCCATCCTCCTGTGTCCCTCATCAGCCCTGGCCTTGCTCCTTCCAACCTTTCTGCTGTTGGATAGGGGCAAAATTGTATCTGAATTTAATTTTAAACTTTTCTTTCTGAGTAAGTTTATCTTTCCTATGGAAGTACAAACTCAGAAAAGTCTCCCTACCACCTTTTCTTCTGTGATAAGAAAAATAGCTTTTAGGGAGGAGTCTCAACTCACAGGGATAGAATGGTGAAAAATAGGATGTTTTCCCTATGCTGTTCAGTCCAGTTGCAATGATTTTAAAGCCAATAGTTGTGTAAACACAACCCAGTTCAGGAATTGGCAGAGGCCTCGTACCCTGGAGATGCCCACGGCCTCTTCCTGCCCACAGCTCACTGCCACTCTGACACCGTGAGACTTCTGTCCCTGTTCCACCTACCTCTCACGTGTGTTGCCATGGAGCCAGACCTTTGGCTTTTGACAGTCTGATTGTAATGTGCCTTGGTGTGGATCACTTGAAGTTTCTCCCATCTGGAGTGTTTCGAGCTCCTTGAATGTTTAGCTTCGTGTTTTTCATCCACACTCAGCCAGACAGTTGACTCTTCCTTCTCCTGTACCTCCTGGGGCTCCCAGTCTCGAGGTCCACCTGAGGCGATGGCTCAGGGCCTTCCCAGCTCTCCCCTGGGCATCTGCACGGCTCCAGCGAGCACGTGGCCTCTAGAGCCCCCGGACTGTGAGAGCTGTTCAGAGCCCTCTTGGACATCTCGTTCTGCAGCCTCTCCTTCCGTGCCTTTTGGTTTGTCTGCTGTTCACTCTGACTCTCATCCCCCATCTTAGGCAGTGGCAGTTATAGCATCTGCCTGCGAATGCTGCCCCGGTGTGCCCCCGAGGGGTGGCTTTAGCTCATGTAGCCCCTGAGCCCTCCCTTTGGGGGGCTGTCTGCATGAACTCACCAGCCCACCCTCCCCTCGGTAAGCCAGCCTTCTTGCTGCTCTTGGCTTGGCACACACACTTGGCACATGTACCCCTGGCCGCCCAGGGGTCTCTCTTCTTTCTGACTGAACTGCAACAGATTCCTCCATTTTAAAATTTCTGATAACGTTTATCCTTATCATCACTGTCACTCTGACTCTCACCCCCCTGCGTGTAATTGCGTAATTGCTGTTCAGACAATGCCTACAGCCTGTGCTGTCATTAGTACAATAATGACCACGTCTTCACCCCTGCTCACAGGAGTGCTCACAGGACTGTGCAGGCTTCACCTTTTCCATCACGCCCTAGTGGGGAGGGGCTGAGCCGCTGCCCCTTCCCCCTGTGCTTTGCGTGCAGAGAAGCATCCGCTTGCCCTGCAGCCTGGAGAGTCTTGATGGCAAGTGCTGCACCCGAGCAGGGAGCTCCCTTCTGCCCCTGCACACCTCTGGCCCAGCTCTGGTCAGTGCAGCCTCCTCATTTGTTTGAGGTGTGTTCTTGTGCTATAGACACGACAGAGAAACGATCCGTGTCAGCCCCATGCCAGGGGCCAGTTAGAATGGCCTTTGCATTTCCCTGGTTCCTACCTGACAAACCAAGGTCCTTGGTTTCTATGACCTTGGGCCAACCATGTGCAAGCTCTGTGTGTCTTTGCTGCTCCATCTCTTGGTCTGAGAAGCTAGGCCACCGTTCTGGGTGCTGTAGCTGGGCTGTGTTGGTCCCATGTCCCCATGCTGGAAGTGAGGGGCTTGAGTGAGGGACCATTGTGCCTGCAGGGCCCGTACCTGGAGCCATGGCCTCGTGTGCGGGGCAGGGGGCTTTGGTGACGGAGAGTGGCTTATCCCATCATCAGCCACCAGTCACCCTCTCACCTGGCTGGACCTGAAGCCCCATTTGCCTCCCAGGCGATGAAAATATCCATTTATTTTGAAAGCAGGTTTCTGGAAGCTGGAAAGTGCATGGGAGTAGTTTGATGGATGCAGTGGGTGGAGCAAGCTGCAGCTGGGAGGACGGCCTGAGGGGGCAGTAGGGGAGCCGGTCTGCCTGGTGGAACCACCATGGTCCCAGGGCTGCGTGGCCGGAAGTTCCAGGGAGGGGACAGTGGCCAGTGGGCCAGAAGTAGAGGGCATAAGCAAGGCAGGTCTGTACGGACTGGCACTCCCAGTGAGAAAATGACCAAATTGAATGGCAAATCCGGGCTCCCAATGTGGCTGGAGGCCCGTCTGAAGCCCACTTCTTTCTGGCCTGCCAGGGTCCCTGGCGTGAAGGTTGGTCCCTACCTGTCCCTGCTGCCCTGCCCCCCTCATGGTTCCCAGCTGGGGAGACCCTGCAGGAAACAGGCGGCTCCGCTGGAGTAGAGCAGGGCCAGTGCGCCAGCTGCCCTGGCCTCCTCTCTCCAACCTGGGCCAATACCATGAAGAGAGAAAGACCTGGAAAAGCATGGTACTGGCTCATTCTGAGAAGAGAAATTTCCAACAAATTGAAATTAACGTACTCACTATCTTGTCCAAACGTACCTAGGAAACTATGAAGAACCAGCAAGGAGAAAAGCAAGCAAATACTCAGGAGTTAAAAATGGTTGTTAAAGAGTTCAAAAAACCCATGCAAAGAGTAGAAAACAAATGAGACAACGAATCTTCAGAGTAGAGAAAAAAGGGACTGGTAAACAAAATGATGACAAAGAAGAGCGAGGCCGAGGCCTGATGCAGACAAAGGAAGGACCATGAGGCGGAGGTTGCAGCTCAGTGGCAGGTCCAGGTTCCCAGGACAGAGCAGATGCCACCTACAAGCTGTGCCCCCAAGCCCAGCCTCCTGAGTCCGTAGTAGCGGGGACGCAGCACCGGGCCTGGCTTCCGGAGAGAGCGCATGGCCTCCAGATGCTGATGTCCTGCGTGTTCAGAGGACCAGGGGCTTTCAGTCTGGGATCCACGCCGAGAGAAGGCAAGGGAGCGCCGACAGCACAGGACAGAGGGGAGATGGAGCTGATGAAGCAGCCGGGGTGGGGGTCCCCAGGAGCAGAGCGGGGCTGGGGGCAGCTTAGGATTGGGAAAACCTGAGGATTTAGTGAAGGCAGAGGACACTCCCAAATCCCATCTGTGGAGAAATGTGGCCACGCCCCAGAGGGAGTGTTGATGGTGAGCGTGGAGGGTTGCTAGGGCTGGACCTGGGTGGGCCGAGCGCTGTCTCAGCTCTGTAAGGAGTCCGCCTGCTCAGGCTTTGCCCCGAGGCCCACCCCCTGATTCCTGAGCTTTGGAGTCACAGGGATGGGCAGGACCACATGCCAGTTAACATCCTTGCCATGTGGGAGGGGAGAGGATGGGCAGGAGGGAGGGAGGCAAGTTGGAGGAAGCATTAGGTGTCTGTTTTAAGTTCCGTCACCACCAGCAGGAAAACCTGAAGGGAGAGCCCCAGTCCATAGGGAGGGTTCGGGGTGGGAGTGAGCGCCAGTGGCCCAGTGCTCACTATCTGAAGTTGGTACTCAGGAGGCAGGTGTGTTATGGTGGCATTTCCCTTCCCTCCTGCCCCAGAGCCCAGCAGAATCCCAGCGCTGGCCTGCGGTGGGGTGCGCAGCTAGGGCCTGTGCTGATTGATCTGTGTGCATAGGTTGCCGGTCTGACTAAAACTGAAGACAGCATCAAAATCAGAACAAGCCCTGCCCCTGGGCTCTGGGGAGAGGGCTGGGGGCGGGGACAGGCTAGTGGGCCCTGGCCTGGGGCTCGACCTGGCACCCACAGGTGCCTTCTGTTCGCTCAGGGCACCCAGTGCTCTCCAGCCCCTGCCCCCTCAGCAGCTCCTGGCTTAGCACTTTTGAGTCACAGCGGGAGTCAGGCCCCCCTGGAGGCCCCGCTGTGGAAAACCAGTGGAGAAGGAGGGCCAGGGAGGGGGCAGGCGGGGAGCTGCTTCTTCCAGGCTGGGAAGCGCTAGACTCACTTTGCCATTGGCCTTTTTCTTTTCTCTGCAGCCACCAAAATGGAAGAACTAACCCAGAAATATATGAGATTTTCAGCGACGGTCTGCACAAAGGCCTGGGGTAGCCTGGGAGCCGGCAGCTCTGTCCCCAGTTGTCAGGCAGCAGGGGCCGGGGTTTGCTGAGCCATCAGCAGTCACAGCCCTCGAGTTCTCTGGACACGGCCTCTGAGTACTCAGCGCCTGCAGCTCTTTGGGAAGGGGTAGAGACAGGGTAGGGCAGTGTGAGCTGGGAGAAAAGAAAACTCAGGTTCTAAGAAGTTACCTCCAACCTGCTTTTTGCTTCCATGTCTGCATGTGACCTCCTCCTTCCCTCTGCTGTCGCCCCAGTGCTCAGTCCTCCCTTCTCCACATCCCGCCTGTTCCATGTCCTGGGCCCCGCCTGGCTGGGAGCCTCCTGCCATCCTTCCCCTGCCTCTGCCTGGTCCTGAGTATGGTCAGAG